CGTAGAGCTGCTGGGCGAGCGACTTGTACTGAGACACCAGCGAGGGATCCTGTGGGCTCGCCGATCCCTCAGCTGTGTATTCCAGGTCGAACCACTTCCCTCCAGGTTTGACGAGCAGGACCTGCCGCTGCTGAAACTCAAACACATTCACGTTCTGCCTCGCCTTTTTACCCTGAGCATCTTTCGCCTTCTTCTTCGCCTTCTGCTTCTCCTTCACCTCCAGCTCGTTTTTAACCTCCTGCTGAGCGCCGGACGTCCGCTCCTCGGCCGATTCCTTCTCGACTTTACTTTTGTTACTTTCCTTCTCGTCCGCGGCGTCGCCCTCGGGCTCGTCCGGGATGACCTGCAGCCCCGCGAACGCACGGATGCCGAGTTTGGTGATGAACTTCTCCAGCTCCCCCGCCTCCAGATCGTCTATCGCTCCTTTCTTCCCGCCGTCGACGAGCTCGTTGGAGTCGTCCAGGCCGGCGAGCAGGATGTAGTCAGCCTACAGAACGACAAGAGAAGAAGAAAGTTTAAATGAGCTTTTAAAAAACAAAAAATGTGTCTGAATAAAACTATCTGTTTATGATTCTGTGTAATGTCAGTCCTGACACCATTATTATTCTGTTTCCAAACCAGAAGGAAACAGACTGACGAGACTCTCCTCTGTCGCCCCCCGGTGGTGGAATGAACTTCCAAACTCCATGTGATCTGCAGAGTCCCTCTGCACCTTTAAGAAAAAGCTAAAGACCCAGCTCTTTCATGAATACCTACTAACTTAATGATGATGGTCTCCATATTATTGATGATGATGATGGTAATGACGATGGTTTTTGTTTGATAACGATGACTTATAAGATGGTTTCTATACTGATTAGAGCTCTCAAGAACTGCCCTCAATGTTGTGCTTTGCCTCTGGTCACTTCCTGTCAGCACCTGTGTGTCCAATCAGACTCAAAGCTGATCGTTTGCTCTTACTCACATTGTTCCCTTTTTTCTAGATCCTTGCTTGTGTTGTTCTTACTCTCTGATGTACGTCGCTTTGGATAAAAGTGTCTGCTAAGTGAAGTGTAGAAACCTCTTATACTTATAAACCAGTGTGAACAACGTACCAGTATAAATATCTTATCTAATAAATAATCACCACTGGTGTGATGTTCTCAATGTGTTTATATCATGCTGGGAGAGAGCAGTAAGAAAGATGAAAGCTGCAGACATCATGATACGATCTGTCAAGTTATTAGAGAATAAAAAAGTTAATCAAATAATAATAATAATAATATGTTTAATAAATGGATAATATGGAAGTTTTTATTAAATGTCATGAAACGTATCTTATTGGGAATGAAAGTTAAAGTCTGTTTAACTGTTTTTAAGTTGTTTATGATGGTTTAAAGCTCCTGTTTATAACACATTTACACAAGAATCATGACGTCATCCTCCTGACTGACAAAGCCTGTAAATAAATAAAGTTATAAACTGTTTTTTTTCGCGTTAAATTATTGATATTTGTATTAATATTTACAGATAATATGATGTAGTTAAGAACGTGTTTTATATCGTATTGACTCACCTGAGTTCCTCCGAGTCGTAACACCTCGTCCAGGCTGAACTCTTCTTCTTCGTCTTGTTTCGCTTTGTCTTCACCTTCATCATCTTCCTCTTCCTCCCCTGCGTCGTTCTCAGCCTCCATTTCGTTTTCTTCGGCCTGAAAACTCACCTTCGTGGTCGCTTTGGATTTTTTACGGTGCTTGTTTTTCGCTGCCATGCTTCCTACAGCGTGAGGAAGAGACGTGACCCGGAAGCGAAGGTGACGTCACGTCGACGATTCCGTTACAAATGTGAGAAAAAAATAAATGAATAAATGAAAAAAAGTAAAAAATTATTAGCTTATTAACATTTATACAACCGAATTTCTTTTTATAAATCGTGCTATAATCTTTAAAAATAAAAATCCTTCTTCGGATACCGCTCCTTTCCTTCCCCCGTTCTTTATTCAGCAATTTAACTTTTAAATGTTTTACAAATTACTCAAAGCAGTTTATTTAAATGGTAAAATAACAAATATAACAAATATAACAACCATAAAAAATAAGAATACAAAAGTATAGAGCACTACAGCTTAAAATCTGGGATTTAGTTACCCTTTAACTTTTAATGAAATCTACATAAAATAAAATAAAAACTGGGGGCTTTATATCGTGTAAAATACTCAAGTAATTTATAAAATCTCACGGCACTTCCATCTTTATCAAGAACTGCAAAAAAGATTAAATGGTTAACTTTAAGAATTACTTAAATTTATTTTGAAAGGTTAACCGGATGTGTTATGCTACTCGACGGATATTGAACTTTACGCTCTTGCACAAGGACTTTTCCGCTCTTAGCTGCTGTAAACTTCACATATTCAGATGATTCAGACACATCTTCGCGTATATAACCGCGTTTTAGAGAAGATAAGACGTTTCTGCGTCCGGCGGTGGTTCCGTTAGAGTTTATAACTGATGTACTTGTAGCTAATGTGGCTAATGCTAACCGGGCAGCCGTTATGAGGGTTTGTTTTAAGGTGAGCACGCTGATCAGGAGAGTCTTCACACTTCCGGTCAGTTCATCAGCAGGTGAGTCAGATTAAAGGTAAATTACACCCATCACAGCTCACCTGTACAGTTAGATTATAAATAACTTTTCAGACTTTAAAACCCGAAATATCGACGAGTTTTCACCGGTTACTGATTTTTATTATTTCTACATTAATGCTGCAAAAAATGATTAAAGTATAAATTAATAAATAAATGTTTTGAAAAATGCATACAATAATGTATAAATAAATAAATAATTAAATATATAAATAAATAAATGCTGAAAACAATACATTAATGAATAAATAATAAATATACTTTGTTAATGAAAAAGACTATTTATATATTTTTACATGTATTTATTTATTTATTAGCATATTCCTACAGTTATATATGTATCAATGCATACATTTCCACATTAATTGAGTTATTAATTTATTTCCGTATTTTTACATTTCCACATCTATTTATTTCTGTGTCCAGGTCGTCAGAGGAAAAGTATTTATGTAAATTTGCTTCTGTCTGTTTTTACAAATTGACCAATCCTACTTCAGTAATGTTAGGACGGCCCACTTAATTTACATATTTACTTTTCCTTGTACAACATGGACACAGACATACATAAATGAATATATTAATATATTTATTTATATATTAATTTTTATATGAATTGTTGCATTTATTTATATATATATATATATATATATATATATAGATGCATTTGTTTAATTATTTATTTATTCATACTTTAGTCATTGTTTGTCCCTCATAGCATTCGGGGGTGTCGGACACATCGGAAAAACGACTTTCCGAGTTGCAAAATGAACATGAACACCTGCAAGTTATATGTATTACGGTTTATCTTAATATTACATCAACAGAATCAGATTTTATTGCCAAGTACATTTACACACATACAAGGACTTTGACTTTGACGTTTAGGTGCAAAACAATTAGCAAAGAAATAAAGAAAAAATAGTAAGAAGCCTGCTGACAGGGAACTTAGATAGGGTAAGATAAAAATATAAAAAAGTAATGTTAAAATATATGATAGAATATAAGGAACGCTAAAGGTGCAGCGGAGGAGCTGTGCAGGTTTATGCATCTACCTGCACAGCTGCATGTCCTTCATACACCAGTGCAGATATTGTACAGTATAAATATCCACACGGTGTGTAATGTAAAACAAACAATCACCTTTCCTTTTTAAGAGTCATCAGTGATCATTCTGGAACACTTTTTATGACTTAAAATGTTTCATGTTAATCAGTGGGATGGCGAGCAGCTCAGTCCAGACTCTTCTGCAGCGCTCCATCAGGTGAGGAGAAGCCCCGCCCCTCCATGCTGAGACACCTGACCTCTAAAATCAAAGCCACGGGTCCGATTACGGTGGCTGAGTACATGAGAGAGGTGCTCACCAACCCCGTGACGGTAAGAGACCTCTGTCAACCTCCAACGCTAAAAGAAATCATTACCATCCCGCCTCCTGGCAGATATCTGAGTCGTGTTTGTGTGAAGCAAATAGATATTTACACCTCTGCATTTAAAAGTGATATGAATGTAAATGTTTTACTCAAAATAACTTTGAAAAGGTCTTTGACGGACAAAGCAAAGACAGGAAGTCAGAACCATAACGAGATCTATCCAGATGATCCATCAGAAAAGAATGGAGCAAAGTTGTAGGACACACCCACGAGAAGCCCGCTCAAATTTCCTTGTGCCTACAAACACAGCTGGCCAATCAGAGGAAAGTGGGCACGCGGGGAGGCGGGCCTTAAAGAGACAGTAGCTGAAATGAACCGTTTCAGGCCGAGGCTGAAATGAGGGATTCTACCGACGGCATTATCAGATAAAGAAGGATGTTTTATGAGCTGCATGTCTCACAACGTTACTCAACAGGAGTCCCAGACTGACGTCATGAATGGAGGAAGTGAGAACAATAGATCTCCTTTAAACTTCAACAGTCAGGCCGAACAAAGGAAACTCTACAGAAATGTGACTTCACATAAAAACACGTCTCTAAACGTTTTTCAGAAGTGATTTAAAGGATGTCGCTGACTCTGCTCGCCTCGCCTCGTCTCCTCAGGCAGGTCGTCCTTAAACACATGGACTCATGCCGCTCCCTCTTTTCTTCTCTTTCAGGGTTACTATGTGAGGAACAACATGCTGGGACCTGATGGAGACTTCATCACGTCACCAGAAATCAGTCAGATTTTTGGAGAGGTGAGACTCTGAGCTTCACTTTTCATGAACGTTTTTATTTTACATTTTTTACCCACCACGAGTGAGAAATGACTTTAAGTTCCCTCCAGTGTTCTTTTTGTTTGTGAGACAATGAATTTCTTTTGGCTCTTCCAGCTGATCGGCGTGTGGATCCTCAGCGAGTGGATGGGAGCGGGTCAGCCCAAACAGCTGCAGCTGGTCGAGCTCGGACCGGGGAAAGGATCTCTGGCCAGCGACGTCCTCAGAGTACGAACTCTTATTGAGCACAGCGTGTAACAGCTTCTTCATACCACTGTGTCCTCAGATCTGTTACACCTGATCTGAATGTCACATGTCGAGATAAAACCTGAAGTACCTGGGTGTCGTTTCGTCTCTCTCCAGGTGTTCAGTCAGCTGCGCTCTGTGCTCGGCGAGGCCTCTGTGTCTCTCCACCTGGTGGAGGTGAGTCCGGCTCTGAGTCGTATTCAGGCGCAGACTCTGACCGGGAACCAGAGCCAGGAGGCGGACACGGAGGATGAGCTGGTTTACCGCCGCGGGGAAACCGCAGCCGGGCTGCCGGTGAACTGGTACCGCCGCTTAGACGACGTCCCCGCAGGTCGGTACAGAAGAGAGTGAGGTTTCAGTTAAAGCTGCGGCGCTGCTACATTTCATTGTTTTTTTTTGTGTCAGGAAATTTCTTTGAGTCTTTTTGCTTTTTGATTCAAGTCCTTGTATTGCCCCCGAAGAGAATCGGCGAGGCCCCGTGTCAGACTAGCTTTTTTTTTGTCAGGCAGCAAAGCGCTGGCTGCGTGCTCGGGAACGCTCGGATGAAGCGCCTGTGTGCTGAGAATGAAAGCGCAGCTGCACGTGCGCCTTTGCTCCGAGAGAATCTTTGCCCTCCTGCTTTGTCTGGACGATGACGCCCCGCTTCCAAGGCTTCGATCAGACGCGGAGCAAGGACCCTGACCGATTGGCTGGTTGAAAGAGCGCCAGTGATGTCATCAGCGCCCTTCGGAAAAGTTGCCACACAAAAGCACAGCGATGTGCTCTCCTCTTTGGGAACAATTTAATAAAAGAAGATGGCGCTCTGGACGCAGAACCTATTGATCCTTTATTTTGTGTTTTTTTTCCTCACACCTTAAAAGAAAAGTGAAGATGTACAAACCAGCGTAGATTATTTTTGTGATCACCTGACTTCCTGTTCTCTCCTCTTTCTTACCTCAGGCTTCAGCATCGTTCTCGCTCACGAGTTCTTCGACGCTCTGCCCGTCCACAAATTTCAGGTGAGAGGCGAAATCTCAGACATTCTCTCGTCATTTTAACTCTCATTTTTGCCACTTTTAGTCCCGTCAGCAGTTTCCAAATCTAGCTTCTAGTATCCTGTAGTGCCGACCCTAACTGTGTAATTGTGCCAAACTAACACCAGGCGGCGCCAGAGTGAATTAAACAAAAATCCAATCAGTCCAGATGTAAAGATATTTAAAGAAGTATGTGCTCCGCAAACAGTTAAGCAGCGATCGAAGGCTGTGGCTGCATTTGTAGTTTCAGCAACAAAGATCTTGTTTCGTTATCTTCACTCTGACTCGAGATTCTGGCGTCAAAACGTCAACATTTGATGTCCGATTGTGAAGATCCAGCAGGCAGAACAAAGCTTTGTTTCAAAGAATGTGCACTTTCCTGTTGGAAAAGGATGAACAAATATACGGCTTTGTTGTCCTGCTCAGAATAACATTTACACTTTTAAAGACTAATGTGCAGTTTGGAGATACTTATTGTATTTTTTACAAACCCCTCTGATGTGTTTAGTAAACAGAGTCTGTGTGTGTTTGCTTTGGGTAGAGGACTCCTAAAGGCTGGAGGGAGGTGCTGGTGGATATCGACCCGGAGAAACCGGAGCAGCTCAGGTTCGTCGCGGCTCCCGCTCCGACTCTGGCGTCGTCCACTCTCGTACAGGTAAACATTACGCCCACCTTCTTCCCTCACTCTCTGTGACCTGGCAGAGACAAAGCTGTAAAGCACATTATTCGTTTTGAATGATTTCATGTCCTGAAAAGAAGAATCCACTGACAGATAAGGAACAAGCTAAGCGTATGAAAGTGCCGACTTGTTGAGGTAGAAGAGGTGAACTTCGCTTGAAAACACGAGAGGAGTTGTTGGATCATTTAAACTTTGAAGGAGAGGAAGAAGTCGATCTGAAACGCTGCGGAAACGAAACCCTTCAGATAAACTCTCAGAGGTTTGTTTTACAGCCTGCATCTGGTTTTTACTGCCCACATTTAAACCAGGCGGCCTCACATTCAAACACTGTTTGATTCAGCCTCCCCGGCTCAGTGCAGACACTTTGAACATCCTGCCAGACCTGACATCATCATCATCATCATCATCATCATCACTGTCAGTGTGTTTGGAGAAGAAGCTGCTTTTAAATCCGGTCTGAGGGCTGGAACTCGGAGTTCAGCCAACGTTATCATGAAAGCAGAGACAAAAAGTTAAAGATTTATTTTACCGTTTGAAGGCGTCTGTCTTTTTTTTTTTTTTTTTAAACACAGATGATTTAACTCGTTTCTACATTCAAACAGACGAGCTGTGGTGACTTTAAACACGTGAATACTTCCCTCATCAACAGAGAGGAGCAGCTTCTTTAGGATTAAACAACCGGGCATCTTTTAAAGGTCACATATCCTCCTCCTCTTCAACAAAGTGTAAATAAGTCTCAGAGCTCCTCAAAACATGTGTAATAATAATAATAGACTTCATTTGGCATGGACATCACAGGTACATTGGACGAACCAGATGCATTGTTTAAGTGTTTTAGCAAGCATGCTAGTTCTCAACACCTGTCCACAGGAGGCTTTAGAAAATAAAACAATTAAGATAGGGAGAAAAGCGATAAAACAGAGAAAACAATAATGGGAGAATAAATAAATAGAACCGTAGAGCAAAGGCAGCATGATCAAACAACAAACCAGTCAGAAGCTGTGTGAAGTTTCTTGTTCTAAATCCACTCTGATCCTGTATTTGATCATGTCTATAAACCCCTCTATTTCAGCCCTGCTCAGAACAGACTGTTTCTGTGTCTGTACCTTTAAATATGTAAATGAGCTGTGTCTGACCACGCCCCCTCTCTGAAAGGGCTTGGGTGTACTCGGTGCTTTCTCGCTCCATGTCCTATTGTTGACGGTGAGAGGGTAGAACAAACACCTAGCTGTGGGAGTGTCACCCACCTGGGGGAGGGGCTACTGCCCTTTGTGATGTCATGAAGGGAAAATCTCCAAACGGCCTGTTTGAGAACATATTTTCTGAAAAATAAAGCAGGTAAAAGACGGAGAGGATGGACTTTTCTCATCATTGGGGGGTTTGTAGACGGACTAGAGACACATGTTAGAGTTAGAGGAACATGGAGAAGAGTCCAACTGAGTCCAATACGTGTCCTTTTTCTTTAAATACACGACTTCAACTCGGAACAGTTTAGTTAGTTTTTCTGCTAGAACTTCAGATGTTATGAAAAAACATGTAAATGAAGAGTTCTCAGAAACACAGAAGGACAACAACAGTGTGTTTGTGTGTCAGGCAGGTGAGAGGCGGAGTCATGTGGAGGTGTGTGCAGAGGGCGGAGTCATCATCCAACAGCTGGCCCGGAGGATCACAGAGGACGGCGGTGCGGCGCTGATCGCCGACTACGGACACAACGGAACCAAGACGGACACGTTCAGAGTGAGGACGAATGTTTGAGGCAGATTAATAAAACACTCAGGTTGTCATGGCAACAGATTTACGATTACTAGTCAACATCTAACCACCTTTGGCCACCACACAGTCCAGCCCAACTGTGACAAGTACTTTCAGATTCTTCTTTCTTCTTCTCTGCAGTCTTAAGTGAGGACGGATGTGCGATGAGATCTTTTTGTTGGCGTTTATTTGGACAGTTTGTACGTTCGGTCCGCTCCTCTCTTCACTTTTATTTGAAGGAAACAGATGTAGGAAGCAGTGAAGCCCATCTGCTGCAGGCGGAGAGGAAACCAGGGTGGACTCTCCTCCTCCTCCTCCTGTCTCAAACAATTTTTTTTTGTTTCCCCTCAAATTCTTCAAATCATTCATATCGTCCTGAGTCACCTCTACGTTTTCTCAGACGGTAAAATAAACATCTAAGGCTAAAAACGTCAACCTCCCTCTCCCCAAATCAAATGATTTTTTTCTCCAATATTGGCATTTTTCTACTCATTATTTATGCAAAGAAACAAATCTAAGAGATATGAAGCGGTCTTTTAGCCAGCTGCAGGTACGTGATGGAGCTTTAATCACATATTAGGATTTCGACGTGAGACCTGACAGAAAATAAAACCCTGTGAGGCTCAACCTGACAGAAGTTTATTTTTGTTTTTATCTGTCAGGGTTTTAAAGGTCACCAGCTCCATGACGTCCTGTCCTCCCCCGGCTCGGCCGACCTCACTGCTGACGTGGACTTCAGCTACCTGCGGAGGATGGCGGGAGGGGGCGTGGCCTGTCTGGGACCGTCAATCAGAGGACGTTCCTGAGAAACATGGGCATCGACTCGAGAATGCAGGTGAGAGTGACACTCTGATATAATTAGAGGTCGTCTAATTTTGCTCTACATGTAATGCCTGAAGGTTAGGAGTTCTCCTGATTAAGCTGAGATAAAACTCCTCTGCAGGTTCTCCTGAGGAACTGCAGCGACGCGTCCACCAGGAAGCAGCTGATCAGCAGCTACGACGTGCTGACCAACCCGGCAAAGATGGGCGAGCGCTTCCACTTCTTCAGCCTGCTGCACCCGAGCCGGCTGGAGATACCAAAGAGGCCAGAGGGGCTGAAGCTGGAGAAGAACCCGACTCCAGCGCCGCTGCCCGTGGCCGGATTCACCGAGCTCAAGTTCTCCTGAGACAAACACGGGACAGTTTCTGGAGCTTAAACAGACGCTCGGACATTTGACAGAGTTCACTTCAGAGGGTCATGCTGACAGGACGATGCTGTTTTTTTTACGGCTGATAATTAAGAATATTTATGCAGAGAGATGAAAGACGGCACGTCTGTAATTTATAGAAAAAGCTGTTTCTTTAAGTTAACTGCAATGGCATTTGCAATAAAAAAACAAGAAGAAAGAATTGGTAAAGTTTTTGACACTTTGTTATAAAATCCTGTTCCTGCAGCTTTAAAAATCAGAGCGCACAGATACCTGAAACGGACTCCCTGGATTGACAGCACTTGGTGGTTAACGCTCTCCTGGTGGCAGCAGGAGGATGTTTTTCCTCCCCCCGCTCCGTCCACATCTTGAAGCGGTTAGCTGAGCTCACATTTGTTTCGGCAGCCGTTCACGTCGAAAGCCCCACGCTCCTCCGGTAGCAATTAAGAGATTCAGTTACACATGTCGAGGGCGCTCCGCAGCCAAAAGCAGCAGAGCGAGGAGATCGTGTTCAGGATTGGGTAATTAAATGATCGTTTCCAAAACGTCCTGCGGTGCATCGTTATCGCCTTCTTCCTCTCAGTCAGGAGAGTCCGACTCTTCAGCAGCAGATTAAACCTCATTTTCAGTCTCAGTTTGAAACTCTCATAGCTACTGTGTTCATTATAAATAAATAACTGAACATCAGATTATTCTGCCGGTTGGTTGAAGACTTGAAAGCATAAAATGAGTTTTTCTAATCCTAGAGGCAGACATATTGTTCATAATGATGCTGCAGCTGCTGGTTGGTCCACACATTTCAGATAATAATAAAAATAAAGGAGGGGGGGCGCTGGTAGACGAGTGGTTAGTGTGCACGCCCCATGTATGGCGGATAAACAGCTTCACAGTGACCTCCCACTTTATCGCCGTCTCTGGTTCTGGAAGTAAATTTCCTCGTTCAAATCCTCCTTACATCATAAAGAGACTGAAGCCTGTTACCAAGACAACCAGCTTCCCCAACACTTGTGACTATGAAACATTTGATTCGGCAGGAAAATGGCGTTAAAACCAGAGAAAAAGACAAAAGGTGCAAGACTGGAGTCAAGGAACTACACTATCACCAAGGGGCGGGAAACATAGCCATGGTAACAGCGAGCTCCACCAATCAGAGACGTTGATGTAACACTATGATCGTGAGTAGTGTAGTTCTTTTCCCCCCTGATATCGTGAATAAACCGTGTTGTTTTTAAAACGAGGAACTTGTCTCCTACAGGAGCATGAACCATCGTTTCACGCTCAGGTCGCTCGTGGTCAGTTGACGTGTGATGGTTATGACATCATGGCTAATCATCCACTATGGAGAAAATGAAGAGGATTTTGACTTGATGCTGAGCCCTGTAGTCCTCCAAGCAGGCAGCCCGGGTTTGAATCCAACCTGTGGCTTCTCTCTCCCCTGTGTCTGACTCTACCTGCTGTCCTGTCTCTAAATTAAGGCATAAAAATCCCCAAAATCAACCTTTTAAAAAGAAGAGAACAGACCACAGTTTTCTGAAAGTAAAGCATTCAGCTTTAATATTTTTTTTTTCTCCCCACTAAGAGGATCTTCCACGTGACAGAAACAACATTTCTTGCAAAAATATAAACGGTTTAAAGATGAATTTTCAGGCCGGCGTTCATCAGAATCAGCAGCGATCCGCGGGGGAAAGTCTCGGTTTTCTTCTCAGGCAGGTTTTTTTTTTTTTCACAGAAAGACACAAAACGTTAGCAGCTCCATTCTCAGTTTGTCGTCACCCAAAGAGGCGCAGAGAAGTTCTCTGAATACAGCAGCCCGGCGTCTGCTCTTCAGCTGCACTGGTTTGAAAAAGTCCTGAGTCTAACATTTGGTAATGACTTGAAATAGAGTTTAAAAAAACAAGCTTATCCTGTTTTTCCCTCTTCCTTTATGGACCTCAGTAGAAACTTTAAAACCACTTCTCCTGCGTTAGAAGCAAAGAATCCTGTTTGATCCAACTTTTTTATGGAGCAGAGATTGAACATTTGATCTCCGTTCTTCATAAAAAGTAAAGAGAGAAGTTCACTTTCACTAAATCAAAAAGTCATGATCAGGGGACATTAGAAGTTTCAAAAAAAGTGCAAAGACATCCCAACGAGAAACACGTCGGGCCGGTTTATATTTAAGACATGTTTGAATCTTTTAAGTTCCAGTTAGAGTCACACGGCGTGAAGAATATCCCACATCTCGTCTGAACAGCAAGATTAAAAAAAAAAAAAAAAAAGCGAAAACGATGTTGTTCAAATCTCGTGTCTGAGGTGAGAAAGTGAATAAAAAGGCTCTGAAATCGCAGCCTGGATGTTCCATACAAGTTTTGGCTCAAAGTTTCCGTTTGGTTTTGGCGTTTAGAAAAATGCAGAAAAAGCTGGAAAAACGTTTAAAAAACTATCTGACCTGAAGTAAAGCTGCAGTGAGCGTGTCACAGTGTCCTCACACAGCAGCCAATCACGGTCGCTCTCGGCGGCTGCACTCCTCACACCTGATCCCCGTTTACTTTTGAGGGACCCTTTCACCTCTAGGGGTCCTCGTCCATGTCATCCAGGTTGGGCGACATGATGAAGTGATTGGGGTAGTGCAGGCCTCTCTCGTCAGCGTACTCCTCCCAGCGGGCGTCGTCGCTCTCGTGGGTGATGTAGCGCTCGCCCCGCCGCGTCTCGAACTCCCTGAGGTCCATCCAGGTCTGGTAGTCCTGCAAAAAAGAGAATAACAAACGGATAAGAAGAGCAAGTAGTTACCAAACTCAGATCAAGAACAGCCAGGGCGGAATCTTTTTCCTGCAGAAGGATCTCTACTTTTCTATTTTGAACATCTTCAAACAAAATCAGACTTGAACTGATGTTCCGTTTGGGATCAGACCCCCACGGTTCAGGCTGCACGTGATCCACAGAAATGCAACTTTTCATCTCACCGTGTCATTGGTTGGTTATTTTTCTAGAGAAATGTACAGAGCAAGTTCGTTTACCTGCAGCCAGGGGTGACTCAGAGATTTGTCCACGCTGTAACGCTTCCTCATCTTCACCTGCAGCAGGTTATTGATGAGGTCTGTGGCTGTGAGGAAAACACAAAAACTCAGTGTGAAAACCTGAACCTAGTCTACTTTCCATCATTTCCCAATTCAGACGAGTGAGAAAGTGATGTCATACAGGTCAGATATGATGCATAATACACTTCTCCATGTTCCTCTAACTCTAACATGTGTCTCTAGTCCGTCTACAAACCCCCCAATGATGAGAAAAGTCCATCCTCTACGTCTTCTGCCTGCTCCACTTTTCAGAAAATGTGTACTCAAACAGGCCGTTTGGAGATTTTCCCTTCATGACATCACAAAGGGCAGTAGCCCCTCCCTCAGGTGGGTGACACTCCCACAGCTAGGTGTTTGTTCTGCCCTCTGAGTCTGCCTTCTCACCGTAAACAATAGGACATGGAGCGAGAAAGACCGAGTACACCCAAGACCTCCCAGAGAGGGGGCGTGGTCAGACACAGCTCATTTACATATTTAAAGGTACAGACACAGAAACAGCCTGTTCTGAGCAGGGCTGAAATAGAGGGGTTTATAGACATGATCAAATACAGGATCAGAGTGGATTTAGAACAAGAAACTTCACACACATGTTTTGAGGAGCTCTGAGACTTATTAACACTGAAGAGGAGGAGAATATGTCACCTTTAAGTCATTTTGTTTCCTTTGTCTCAGTCTTTTTCTAAACCTTCATGCATTATGTTTAAACCACACAAAAGGAGGATGTGTCAAGTGATCCCTCACCCTGCTCTGAGATCTCCTTCCACGGGTTCGGTGGGTACATGAAGGCGGCGTTCTGGATCTGGTCGTTGATGTCCTCGTCTTCGTTGAAGGGAAAAGTCCCGCTCAGGCTGACGTAGATTATAACTCCCACAGACCACATGTCCAGAGATCTGTTGTAGCCTTTGCTGCGCAGAACCTCGGGCGCCAGATAGGCCGGCGTGCCGACCACCGAGCGACGGAAGGACTTCTCACCGATGATGCGAGCAAAGCCGAAGTCACAGAGCTTCACCTGGAGGAGGAGAGGGATGACTGTGAGAGTTTGCTGCTGAGATCTGCAGTCACATCAAACATTTGTCAAAAAAAAAAAGACAAGAGACGCTGATTCTTCGTTCTCACCTGAGGGAACGGTTCTGCAGAGGCCAGGAGGACGTTCTCCGGCTTCAGGTCACAGTGGACGACGTTCTTAAAGTGGAGATGTCTGAGAGCCACGAGGATCTGTAAACACAAAATGTACAACTTCAAAACAAAACAAGGAAGTGTTGGAGGCAGAAACAGAAGCCTGGCTGTCACTGACCTGCGTGACCAGGAACTTGGTGAGGCGCTCGGGCAGGCGACTCTTCTCACTGGATAAAATCGTCTCCAACATGTCTCCGTGAAGCTTCTCCATGACGACGTACACCTGCTCAGGCGTCTCGAACATGCACTCCAGGTTAACGATCCCCGGGTGGTGCAGGTTCTGTCGGAAACAGGATGCACATTAAAAACCCAAAACCAGCTGATAGGAGATGAAACCGTCTGAAGCGACCCGGTTGTGTGACGCACCTGCAGGATGGCGACCTCGTTCCTTAGCTGGCTCTCCTGTTTGGTGGGAATCTCATTTTGTCGATGATTTTGATCGCCACGTCTCTGCCGGACTTCCTGTGTTTACCTGAAGACCACGAGGAGAAATAAAAAAAAAAAGTTCATCCTTATCTGTAAATTCAGTGTCCAGGAATAAATGGACAAAATGATCAAAGAACGCCGGTAAGAGGTCGCTACATTACATGGACGTTTGTCAGAAAATGCGCCAAACTCACCTCCATAGACGATCCCAAACTGTCCGGAGCCGAGCACCTCGTCAGCAAAGATCTGATACACTGAACTGATATCCTGGGAAACAAAGGGATCAGACAGGTTTCACATTTCTACAAATTAAAACAACGTTTACATGTGAGGAGATCTGCAATATGAAGATTATGATTTGAGTTTGGGAGCCTTCATTTCAGAGAAAAGGAGGTTCATAGAGGAATTAGTTTATTTAAAAAGCAACATGAGTCTGGATCGAACGGTGTCACCAAAGATCGACCTTGTCATTTGTGTGCACATATAAAGTCTGCTAGAATTAATCCATGTGACTTCAGTCATCCTTTTTAGGTACAACATGAAGAATTTCTTACACTAAAATATTTAACTTGACTAATTGACTAAACCTGTTATATATATATATATATTTTTTTTTTTACATGACATCAAATATTTCCAGCAGTTATCAAAGCCAGAGAAATCCTTCATGTTATAGTTGTAACGGGACGTGTCTTTACGCGGTTTATTGTTGCCATGGAAACACCGGATGTGCGCGTTGGCTGGTTGAGTCGTGACCAGTGTGCTCCCATTTCATACTTACTGGTCGATCTAGTTAAACATGCGAGTATTTCTCTTACACACGACGAATGAATAGTATGAAAATATGTGGTTTCGGACACAGCCGACATGTTTATCGTTGCCGTGGAAACGTCAAAGGCCGCTGCATGATAAATCGTGAGCTGCTACTGAAAGCTATTCTCCTCCTCAGGTCGGTTTAACCCGGTCGTCATGACTACGGTCTAGTCCGAGTTTGTTCTCATTCGGGTTGGGGAGGAGGAGTAGCAGAGAGACTCACTCCCATGATTCCCCACCAGCCTGGACATCATCTTTTGTTGCTGTTTAGATTGAGAGCCCCCTGGTGGTGGAATCTAAATATTGCGCGTTTAATGTTTCTTGTAGCCCCATAAAAACAACCGAAAGGCTTAATCTCCGTCAGGCTCAGCTGACATAGCACCCCAACATGTAGACATGCTAACAGGCTAAAGAGTAAGTGAGCATGCTGCGGTAACCACGCTTACATCATGACATCATCTTTCTGAACCATTTCTCTGAAGTCCACACCGCACGTTGTGTGCTCTTTGAATGGGTTTGGTTTAATCGGAAGAGACATTACTCAGACTCTCGGTGGCTGACTGGAACAGGAGGAGAGCATTTAAACGATGACTCACCACATTCTCTTGGATCTGGGAGTTGGACACCGATATGCTGATAGAGAGTTCCTCTGCAGAGACACAAAAAAAACAAAAACAGTTTGCAAATGGAAAAGTCAAAGATATTGTGCATTCATAAACGACACATGCACGTCAGCCCCGTTAGTGAGTGTATAGACGGGTTATTTTTCTAACCTTCCAATCATTAAAATCTCATTTCCTCCGCTTCCTTGTTGTGAAAGTGAGAGACGACGGAGGAGATCTCCAGCTGAGATCAAACCGACACATGTTGGTTCATTAGATAAAAAGATCGCCGCGTTGTGTTTACACTTTAAATCCTTTTACAGCCTCTACTTCTTGCCACCGTTTCCCACAAAGTCATAAAATCTTTTGTTAATTCAGGGACTGACATCTAAGGCTCCGTGACCACCTAGCATTTTTTCGGGTTGAAAGCACTAGCTGTGTGCCCTCAGATGATTGGATGAAGAGACACGGCTCCGTTGCTCTTAACTGCATGTTTTATATTTGAGATGGGTTTTTTTTCCCTTCACTATGAGCATCAAACGGAGGATGCTCGTCTTCCTACTTTGTCTGGATAAGGAGCGGGGAGGATGTGAGTACAAAAATAAGGGGACAATCATGCAGTTTGAAAAGAGCGCAGGTGAAGTCAACAGAGCCTTTGTGAAAAGATTTCAACTCTTAAGGGCTCGGAGCGGCTGCAAAAGAAAAGTGGAGCGCTTGAAAAAAAAGTTGCTGCAGCACACGCTCTCTCCTCACTGAAAACTAGGCGGACACAGGGGCCTTGCGCTGGTGACATGATTCGAGTCTGTTCAGTAGAGATCGGCTGGTCGATTTGCTTTGATGACATCACGTCTCTTCCTCCCCCACAGAACAAACATTTAACTCACAGATAAAAGGTCAAAGGTCCCCCAGGTGGGTTCAGTCCTCTTGTGTCGGTTTGAAGCAGACGCTCTCAGTCATGGAGAGTTCAATGACTCTCATGTTAGTGTTTTTAAGTTTCCTCTCACTGTTCCTTCTCTACTCTGATCCTCTGGAGCACACAGCGCCTCATTCGTCAACAGAGCTGTCAATCATGGCGTTACAGCCATTTTTTAAAGCATCAAATAACTTCTCAGATAAATGAACACCTGGACATAAATCAGCAGAATAAGAGGAACGTTTAAAGACAGAAACCATGTTAGAGAAACACGAGGACCTATACTGGAGCCGGTCAGTAGGGGGCGCTCCAAATGTTACGGCTTCACTTTTTGGAAGCTGCCATGTCGTTCATCTTTTTACTCACTAATAGATGAAAACCACTGATGTTTGTTAACTCTAGTTAAAACAACACAGAGGATGTTTCCAGCTTTAAACCCCTATTTGTATTTTTTATGTTTCACAAACTGCAGTGATGTTCGTTCTGCCTGATCTCAAAAAGCTGAGGCCTCGCTGTGTGTGGAGGAAATCCGCCACAGCGAGTGACTTTCCACTCATGAGCTGGCATTGATTTCAGATCGCTGGCAGGGTGTGATCGGGTCGTCCCTCTGAGATCAATAATGGCGGCCTGTGGTGGGCAGGCGGCCTGCTGTTTTTCAGGTCATCACGCTGGGAGTTTATGAAACTTTATTGACACGACACGTAAACTGAGGGAAGTCCACATCAACAGTTAAATCTTAAATAGTTTAAAATAGTTATTGACCTCAATATGAAAAGGGTTTTATTTCAGCTCTCAGGTTTATGTCTGATCATTTCTGAGCGAAAATATTTACTGTTTGTGTTGCTTCTGCAGGTCATGTGGCGCTCACTTTAAACATTTTCCAGTAGCTCTTTGTGTCTGAGACTTACACAAGAAGATTAAATCAATGACATCTTTGCTTAAAGGCTTTATATGTGATTTATTTTTTTTAAAGATTTATTTTGGGCTTTTTGTGCATTTAATGCAGAGAGAGGACAGTGGATAGAGTCGGAAACCAGGGAGAGAGAGCGGGGAATGACATGCGGAAGGGGGCCACGGGTGGAAGTGAACCCGGGCCTACCACTCGAGACGAGAGTCTCAACACATGGGACGCGCGCCCTAACCATTGCGCCACCAGCGCGCCCCTGTATGTGATTTTTTGATCCAGCAGATGTCGCCCTTGAGCACCAGCATGAAACCAAAACAACTCGCGCTGCATTGTTGTGTTAGCATGCTAATGCTAGCGATCTTTATTATGCTGGTATCTTCACACTGCATGTAAATTTACCTGAAATGAGCGTGATCTAGAAACACAGTTAAGCAGTGAGTACAGTATGTTATTCTTCTTTTCTCTAGTCCCTCAATTAAACAACTTTTATACACGAGGGGAGGAGTCAGCCGGCCGTCCGGGCGATGTAAACAAAGTGAAGATAGGACTCTGAAAACTCTGAAAACATCACAGACAGTGGGACTCGGGTGTTACACCCATTGTAGACAGTCATGACTCACAGAGTTATTTTCAGAGGATATACTTGATTTATATTATATTTAAGTGTGAAAAATCACATAGAAAGACTTTAAAGTTGACCTGCTGATCCTCATTTTAAAACTCACATATAGTGTTACAATGCTGGATGTCTAAACTAAACGTGGGCAAAGTTTCAGATCATGAGGTAAACATATGTTGGAGTAATCCCAGGATGAGTCAGCAGAGGGCGCTAAACAGCTTGTTCTGCTAATCATGTGATAGTTCCCCGATATGAAATCAAGATTTCACCAGAGTCAGCTTCAAGCCTCGATGTGAGCCGGTGAAACTTCTTTACATAGACGCTCTTCTCCCAGCTCTGGAGAGCCGCCCTCACCTGGCAGCCCTGCAGCATTCTAGGAGAGCTGACCAATCAGAAGAAAGAGGGCACGTGGGGACAGAGGACTAAAAGAGACAGCAGCTAAAACGCTGAAATGAGGGTTTTTACTGACACCAGCATCAGATGAATGAGGAGGTTTTTTTAAGCTGCATGATGTAAAAAATATTGACAAGCTCTCAAAAAAATCAAAAATTGACCACAAATCCATGACATTATGTTTCCAGTTTGAAGTGCATCCGACTGTGAACGCAGCATCAGTGTTTGCATGACAGTCTACGGCCGTGAGGTCATTATTCACAGAGTTTATGTAATGTTATTGACACTATAAGCTTCACTGTATTTGATGATGTCACCTGCGGTATTATTTTTATTCCCAGTCATCTTTTTGTATTTACTCTTGTTATGTATTATTACAATGTTTTCCATCCTCTGTGGGTTTAAACAAAAACACGCACACACTCAAAAATCCTTGTTACATCATCAGTCCATTAACTTATTGATCTGTTGGTGTAATTTCAGTTCAAAATAAAACATCTATTTCTGGAGGGATTGGAGCTTGAGGTTAATTACTCATCAGGTGGAAAACACAGCTGACTGCGTCCTTTAAAATAAACCCACTCTATTAAAAAGAATGGCAGCCCTTTTTTTTTAATTGTTAATGGTGATTTTTTAATCTTTTTTTTAATGACATGAGATCCATTCAGGCATCAAGAGCCGGAGATTTCATTTTAGGATGAAACTTAAAACTATTACTCTCAGACAAAAAGACACTTTAACCTGAGATGAGTCAGAGCGGAAAATCCTCTGAAATCCCTTCAATCATGTTAAAATGTCAGCAGGCGGTCGGTGCGCGCGTGTGTGTGGGAGGTGGGGGTTGTGTAACAATCCTGCGAAACAATATTTGGAAGCTCTCCACAGATAAATCCGACCATCCATTAAAACATAAAGAGTTATCAGAATCTGATCTGATTGGAGGAAGAGCTCTGTCACTATTTGAGAGGATAAAGACGTGTAGTTGAAACAAACCAGGTTATTTGGAAAAGGTTTTTCCTAGGAACACCGGGAGTGAATGGTTTCATATTTGGGAATATCATCCACTTGGACTCGAGGATGAAATGAGCAGATTTGGTATTTGAAATGCCACTTTGACCTCACGTCCATCCCAGTTTTCATCAATGACTTGAGGGACATATCATTATACAAAGTGTTATGTGGAGAACGTCACTATCCAGGACCCGACTGTAAATGATTCTAGTGTGACCTATCCTGCCCCATTAAAAAAATTTGGGGTTCCTCAGGGATCCATTTTGGGCCCCTTCTAATTTATTATTGCATTGTCAACAGCATGTCAAAGGAAGTCTTTCCATTTACGTCCAATGATGGCTTTTTTTTTAAGCATTAACGCAGTTCAGTGTTTTTCAAATATGCCCTCGGCATCAGCTGTGTTTTGTCGCTACTCTCACACTGCTCTGAGAAAATAGTAATAGTATTTTTTTTTTTTTTCTTAAACAAAGCCGCACTCGTCAATATCACTTCTCCCTCATCGACGAATCAAAATGAAGAATGCGCAGGACTTCTGATAACCCCTTTTTCAACAATAACATCGGAGGAGAAAATGATCTGACACGTCCTTTTTAAGGATACAACTTTAAGGTCTACAACTGCTGCTTAGGTCATGACAATCTTTATTTTTTCTTGGTGAAATTTCCTTTGGTTAAAAAAAATCTTAAGCGTATGAAACAGTTTGAAACAAAGATTAGTCACTACGAAGGGAAGGAGAAGTGCTGCGAGACTACTTTTTTAACCCAGCGATAGTGTAAGAAATGCTCTGAACTGAGGTTGTTGGTGCTGCCAGTGACTTAAATGCTGTTTGTGGGCCATACAAGTTAATTCTGGTGGTATTCCACATTTCCACAGGTCGACAAACCTCTGGCATGAAAAACACAATTAGTCCCTGAGTCCTGAAAGGACTCTGTCAATACTGAGTCCCTCTGTGATACTGTAAATTACAGGACTGGCGTCTTTGGCGGTTATATCTGCGATTAAAATATTGCTATGGCTACGACAGAACATGAAGTTAGGCTAAAGTTGTTGTTTTTAAGCGGTTACTTACTGTGGTCCTTCCCTTGGCCTGGCCCGGTCCCCACGCTGGGCTTGGGCGTGACGGGCATCATCGCCTGTCGGATGGCCTTCTCCCAGCTCTGGCCCACGTCCCGCCCCACTCCGGATGCAGACAGCACAGGGTTGTGGTGCAGGCCGCCGATGTCCTCCCCGACATAGTACACCATGCTTGCTGTGATGACCTCGAAGCAGTGATGGTTGCTGCCCGGGGGCAGGTTTCCAAAGTCCTGTCCCGGCTCCACCTGGAGGATCTCGGAGAGGGGGATCTCCTGTTAGAACAGAGAAAAAATAGTACAGGTCAAATACAGGCATTTAAAATAACAAAAGTATTTTGTTTAAAATGCTTCTTTTCCTGGACATACCACTTCTTTAAGATCCTAAACCAAAATGTTTTTGCTAAATCTCTTCTCCTTTAAATTCGTGTAAAATGTACTTGTTTTAGGAATCATTTTGGCCAATAAGAAGCATGTAAGAGGTCTTCAAATGTATTTCTGCTCCCTCCATCCTGACACCTCTCCTCCCTCTGCATAACTGTGAGATGCTCTTTGAATTTTTAGTGTTTCAAACTTCCCTTCCTTCCCTTTCCTTCCTCCACCCCTCTAAAGCCACCAATCTGCCAGATCAAACATATAAATGAGAGCGATGGGCCCCGTGGTGTCTCCGTGCCCCTCTGTGTCATCTGAACCTTTAGTGTTTTGCCAAGTTCAACCCCCGCCCCTCTTCAGCCCTCAACCACAAACTCTTGATCAGCATCGCTCCATCCTGCCGCTCTGATTAAAAGGCAGGACGTTCCTCGGCCGCTTTGGGCACGAGGTAGCGCGGCCACGAGCCAGAGAGACGGCAGGGAAGCGACCCGACGTCCCAGAAACCACCACAAATCCCCCCCCACCCCCTCACACCGCTGCTCTCTCTTTCTCTTCAAAGGAAGGTCTCTGCAGCGCTTTGTGGTAAAGGTCAGCAGGTCGCCGACTGACACGAGATGAAAGCAGGAGGAGTATGAAAGAGGAAAAAATCATAGAGAATGAAAGAGCCGCAGCTGAAACGACCTCGACTCACGTTTGATTCTTCGAGGCATTAAAGTTTCCTCTGTGGAAAGTCTAAGTTAGATCAAAAAAAAGTTGGAAAGAAAAGTTGGAAAGACAACCTTTTTCTTTAATTCCTGACCTCACATCAAAACCACAACTAGAAAAATGATCTGAATCGGTGGGTAAAGATTCCTTTTTATTTAAACTGACATTCAAAACAAATACAGAAGTTACAGCACGGTGCAGGGAACCAAAGAATCAATGTTTCTCAAGCTGAAAGACTCAACACTTTTCAATATGAACTCCTTGAACTTGACACACTTGATTCATATGTTGGTTGATTTTTAGAATAAAGGGCGTGTTGGCGAGCTGAAAAAAAACAACAACTATATCTTGTTGCGCTCTGCCTTTTGTTAGTACTTTGTAAACCCCTCTTTTTTTGGAGATGCTTCTTAAATATATATATTTTTACACCGTGAAGCTATGGCTCTCTGCTCAGATAATATTTGGGTTTGAATCTTCTATGATGATAAAGTTATGACTACAGTAGCTCTGTTTGGATTACTCTTCTGCATCGATTTAAATAAACTAAGAAAGCATCCATCAGATTTACAACACGACCCGGTAAACACTCCTGTAGCTAAAGTTAATTCAATGAAACGGAAGAACGCACCACTTTTGTTTTTCCTCTACATTTGCAGGAGATCAAATAAACATTTGGGCTTTTTTAAAGCACTCTTTCTCTTCAGTTTAGATCACAGATTAATCATTATCTGTTATAACATATATTTAGGAGAAGGAGGTAGTTATAAGCACATCACATTGGTGCAGCGCAGTGTAAAGACAGCAGACTGAGGAAGAAGAGAGGCCACATTGACCACGATGATTGTGTCCAATCTTCTTCCTCATAACGTATATTTAACATCATGATTATTACGATAGGTGTGCAACAGGCTTGTCACATTAATAGACCTTTCAAAATGAGCATCAATATGCCTGAGAGCGATGACAGGGCGGTGTGTCAATGTCTCAGGAGTGTTTCTGTTTGTGAACCTGACTCCCCCCCCAGTCAAGCAGCTGAAACCAGATCCGAGCAGAGCGGGTCTCTTACCTTGTAAAACTTGGCTCCACTTTCATTCTGAAACAGGGTCAGACTCTTGCTGTCCAGCCTCCAGTAATGCCTCTTCCTCTGCAAACACAAAAAACATTCATCAGGATAAGAAATTCATATACTTCGAAGATGTAAACAGTTTTATTTTATCCAACACAAACATACAAACATTTTTTATAAAACAAACAGGATGAGACTGAGCTCTAACAGAGCACGCTGATACAAGTGTTGTTATTATTTCATTACAGGTTCTTTAAGGTCATGCAAAAACTGCTTTCACACTTTCAGGGGCAGTCCTCCAGAAATTCTCATTTCAGGAATGAATATGTGAGAATGACTAAAGTGAAGTATTCCTCTTCACTACATTGTGAGGTATTGTCTACACCTTGTTGTAGGTTAAACTTCCTAAGACAAAGTGAAAGACGGTTCAAAGATTCCAGAGAAGTATTTCACCAGGTCAACACTGACCTGCAGTGTGGGAGGTCGTCTTTCTCTTTGCCGACTCAGCACCTGCCCTCTTGTGCATGTTTTCTTGATTTAACTTCTGACATAATACAAAATAGTTTTGAGTAGCTCCGCCTCAACAAGCTGCAGAATTAAAGAATCACTAATAATATCAATGTATCAATGATAGAGATTAAAAACATGTAACTGATTGGATCTGTTCTGCACAATCAGTTCTTTCTATTAAGTTATTCATCCCTTACACTTTGACGTTTGAGACTATTTATGTTTGTCTGGTGTTTTTAAATTCATCGAATGGCTCAAAATTATAGTATACAAATTCCATATAAATTCCACAGGAAGGTCAGGGGGTCGATCCCCAGCTCCTGCAGCCACATGTCCGATGTGTCCTTGGGGAAGACACCTAATCGTTGGCGGTGTTTGAATGTGTATGAGTTACTTCTGATGGTCACTCCACACAGCAGTGTGTGTCTGTGTTTGCATGTTTCAGTGTGTCCTCTCACCAGGTTGTCCCTGCTGGTGTAGTGCACCATCCAGCCCTCTTTCACCATCGTGGAGCTTTTCCTCTTTGTGTGTTTGATGGACTGAACGAGCCGCATCAGCGGGATGTTTGTGCTGGTGGACGGGCTGCATGTCCACAAATAAACAAACAACACAAAACAAAACAACATTTTAGGAAAAATAACAACTCACTGAAGAATACAAATATCTTTCTGACTGCGATGAGGAAAGATGAAACACAATGACAGATACTATATATGGTAAAGGATTCTTATAAAAAAGTTGATTTAATACACTAATTGACTTGAATTAAATTGGTTGAAATTCCAGCGTCAGGGAGCAGGATAGCCCAGCGGTTATGCTGCGCCCCATGTACAGAGTGGGTTCAAATCCGACCTCTTCCGTGATGCTGCATGTCGTCCTCCCCTCTCTCCTCCAAACATTTCCTGTCTCTCTGCAGCTGTCATATCTAATGAAGGCAAAAAAATATATATATCTTTAAGAATCCAGCGTCACCTGATGGCTCTGAGCGTCTCGTCGTCCTTCTCGCTGTCGGTGCAGGGACCCTCGATGAAGAAGAGTTTATCGTCAGCGTTCGACAGCTCGTCCGGCTCGTCCAGGCTGTGACCGCCGTCACTGTTGACGTCACAGTTGTCGACCTCCATCGTCGACTCCGAGTCCGGACTGGGACTGGTTGGTTCTAAAGGACACAATGACACTTACTCTAAGATTCTTAACTGATAGAAAACTGAAAAATAATCTTTTAGATGAATATCGTTGCAGTTCCTTGAATGGCCACAAGGTGTTGCCTAAGAAAAACATGAAAGCTGAATTGTAAGGGTCCCGTTGATGATAGTTGAACAATCATTTTTATCTGGATTTTCTCTTCCTGTAAAACGTTTCAAATGTCTGATGACTCATCCTGCACTCAGGGGCGTTTACTAATTTTCAACAATTAAAAAGATTTGTTAATGATCCAAAGAAATTCATCCCAACGTTATGTCCCGCCTTCTCCACAATCATTGTGGTCAAAAATCTATCTCTTGATTGGTTCTATCCCATTTCAGTAGGAAATATGTCACAACCACAGACTGTAAATATGAATGTTTGAAGTCTGAGTGACGTCACCCGTCTGTTCCTGCAGGGGGCGCTGGAGTCCCATCGATGGCGGTCTCCATGCTGGAAATGCTGTCTCAGTCTAACTTTCAGTGAACTTAAGGACATGCTTGATTATAAATAAACATTAGAATAAGAAGAACAGGTGTGCTCTGTCACAAACTCACCTCCATTGAAGTCGACCTCACCGAGGCAGTCTCTGGGAACTTTGGCCGCACATCTCTTATGGCAGTTGAATTTACAATCTGAAGAAGAAGAGATGAGAAAACGTTGTAGCTCATCACAAAGTTATTTGTGTTATCACTTTCCTCGGCACGTATGTCGTCGTCACCTTTGCACTGCATGCCCTGGCGGAAGAGACCCTTCAGCAGGCGCTTGCAGAACTGGCAGATGGTGGGGCGGGTGTAGGTGTGGACGGAGAAGGTGTGCGGGACTTTGACTCGACCGAGGACTATCTTCTCCATCCAGATGGGACGGCCGCTCAACAGGGAGTTACGCTTACCGGCACCCAGGAGGGGGCGCTGTGTCGACCGGATAGGATGAGGTTGGAAGAGATAAAATAAAAAAGGAGAAGGAAATATTAAGATATGAAAAACAAGATAGGCAACCATAAGAACAAAGCAAAGCCTAAAAGAACACCAGAAAATAATGCATCACACTTTAGTCGGAAGTATGGCACAGCAGGACTTCCACATACACACACAGTCAGACTTGCACAAACACACAGCTTTGCGTTCCCACATTGACATTGTTAGTCAACCAGATCAAACGTGCCTTAACCTAAACTAAAAAGTCACATTTCATAAATGAACAGTTCAACTTGGCCTTCTTATGGTTTGTTCTCTACGTGTGCACATGGTTAAGAGTGTGCCTTAGTGTGTGTGAGTGTGTGTGTTTGTGTGAGAGGGAGTTGACAAAAGTGTTTGTTCCAGTTAGCATGAAGCTCTGAATGAGGCTCACTTTGTTCAACGGTTTGTGAACGGGATGGAAAATCCAGTGGTTAGCCTCCAGGCATCAGAGAGAGAGAGAGGGAGAGCGAGAGGGAGAGAGTGTGTGTGTGTGTGTGTGTGTGTGTGTGTGTGTGTGTGTGTGTGTGTGTGTGTGTGTGTAAATAGCTAGTGGAAATGGCTCACTGGTTGCACAACATAGATGTGCTTGCATGCAAAGCCATGCCATTCATTATGTGTGTGTGTATAAAACAAATGTTTCCTTCACCTAACTGAACTCCAACATGCGTCTCCTGACTCTGCACTCAACAAAGTTCCGACAGCCAAGCAGGACTGTCACAAAAATCAGAATTTTAAACTTTGAAACATTTCAAGTCCAAAATCAAAAGATATGGACGCCTGTCTTTATTTGGACAGGTAAGTGGACAGAGTAAGAGATCGTAAGAGAGAGAGAGTGGAGAATGACATGGAGGGAAAGGAGCTGCAGGTCGGACTTGAACCTGGGCTGCCCGCTTGGAGGACTTTAGCCTCTGTACATGGGGTGTAACATTAGGCCATCTGCACCACAGCATATTTGTGTAATTTAGACATTCCTCATTTTGTTTAATTTGTTGAAAACGTGACTGAAGGGGGCGCCGGTAGCGTAGTGGTTAGTGTGCGCCCCATATAGGAAGCACTAGTCCTCCAAACAGATGGCCCAGGTTCGAATCCAACCTGTGGCTCCTTTACCTCACGTCGTTCCCCACTCTCTCTCTCTGCCTGATCTCCAGCCTTATTCTTGTGCTGTCGATCGTGTTTGTAAAAAGAGGCCGACTCACTCCATGTAAAGAGTAAAGTTTATAGCGTAAACCAAATCTATACCTACGACTACAAATAAGTGACCAATCTAACTTTTATCTTCTTACATAGTTTATAGTGTTTCAATATTTGGAAAAAGTGAAAAAGGCATCAGGTCAAATTGTCACATTTCGTTCTTGTTTTTTTTTTTTGGTGTTCACAGTTGCTGCACAAAATGCCAATGTACTTTATATTTTAATTACATTTTTCTCTCTTACAGACTTTGATTAATCTGTTTTCTGAACTATTAAACCTGCTCAGGGTTGCCTTGCCAATCCTATCAGGACATTCAATTGGGACAAGAGGCAGGGTACACTCTGACACACTTACAGTGCAGACAAAACAATCACTCACAATCACAATCACACCTTCAGGCAATTTAGAGAGACCAGTTCCCTCGACCTGAACATGAGTGAACGCAGGAAACCAGCACAAAGGAAAACATGCAAACTGCACACTCAAATTCAAACCAAGGTCCTCGTGTTTCTGAAATTAAAAATGTGTTTATCCCTGATGATAGGATGCAGGAATCAGAATAAATAGCCACCAGGAATGAAAACAACCTCCTCCTAAGTTCCAGGTCAAATCGTTGAAAAACAATGTTTGATCGACTGTCTCTTAAAGGAAATGTGATAAACCCACCTCCTCTTGTGGTATCGGGGTGAACTCTGTGGAGGGAGGACGAGCGATGGTCATGATGGAGCCCGGCAGGGACACGTTGGACAGCCGTCTTTTCCTGACCCCGGTGCAGTTGTTGGGTATCTTGAACGCACACCGTTTGTGGTAGTTCAGCCCACATCCTGAAGAGGATACATTTTTGTCAACTCTGTGTTTAAAATCGGAGCAAATCTGAGCCCAATGAGTTTGAGCACGCTGTTTTCCCCTGCTTCCAGTCTTTATGCTAAACTATGCTAATCTAAGCAGTTCCCTGCTCTTAATCTTAACACAGACATTAGAGGGTTTAAAATGGTCTCTACTTACTTTGTTAAGAAAGTCAGAAAGTGTATTTTCTAATATTCAAACAAAGATTTAAATCACGATATATGTAGTCACATACGTTTGAAACGTTTGGTTCTAGTTTGTTAGTTAGTTAGTTTCATGTTTTTCATGCTGTCCTGTATAGTTGTTGATGTCTTTCCTTCATATATTTATACTCCTGATGCAAGGCAAATCCCCCCTAGTGGCAATAAAGGTTTTAATGTATTCTTTTATCAGTACGGATAAAAAAAAGATGCATTGATCTGCTGTTTTCATTGACTTTTTAAAAGTTTTAAAACATCCTAGGATTATTCAGACAATCTCTAATGTTTTATTTGACAAAATCACACATTAGTGCATAAAAGCTTGAAGCATACGATCAATGTTTATACAAATTACAAAAGGTGTTCCACAAGGAGCAGTTCTGGGCCCTGTCGTATACAGAATTCATGATAATTGTAAAGTCTCTCTGATATCAAAATGTAGCGCTCATCTTTATGCAGATGATACTATCCTGTATTTTATTTTGCTAACTCTAAACAACTTGCATTTGGATAACATAAAACTGTTCTTTAGTGCTAATAAGGATGTTCTTCTACATCTACAACTACAATTTAAAAAAACACAAAACCACGTTAGTAATCTCCTCCTCTTTTATTTCTGTGCTCTTAAAGTTGAAAAATACTTCACATCAAAGTTTTGTAGTCGATGCTGAGCCCTTTAAGACTGACCTCAGGACTCAGAAACTGAAGTCTCTCCATATTATCTTCCTTCAGTTATTTTTTTGAATCCTCTGTTATCTTTGGTATCTGTGTCTTTAGTTATTCACAAACTGAAGTCATCAAGTCTTTAGGGAAGTGACGTTTTTTTTTTGCTTGTGGACTTCTCTTGATAAACTGCAAACGAGAAATTCTGTCAACTGAGTCACAGTGTGATATTTAAGGAGTACGTGTTAGAGCATGATAAAGTTAGCATGCAGCTTCAACTGCAAATAGGAAATAGGAAGTGCAGACTAGATGCTGTAGAGTGACTTGCTAAGTCTGATATGTCCTAATATGGCCACCGTACAGAGCATTCATCCTCTTCACAGCATGACCTTTAGTGTAGTACCGTCCTCAGGATAAACTTTACATTTCTACCGCCTGTAGAGATGAAGGTCTAGAAATGGCTTTCTCTGTGTTTTGTTTTCTGCTATTTAAAGATCATTGCAGCCTCATGCGTCACAACTTTGTATGAATTAACATTCAGAGACCAATAGTTATGCAACAGAATGTGATTAACACAAGGTCACTGGAAGCTACGAAAAAAGAGCAGAAGAGTCTTTGTAGTTTGTTGTACCATCTTATTTTTCAAAGTTGCATCCATACAGATGTTTTATTTTGCTGCATTGAACTGGACGGAGAACTTTGAATTCTTTAAAACCACAACAGATAACCCAACATGGATACTCTGATCTGAGACCACTCACAGTGTCACTTTTTAGTTTGGATAAATCCAGGATGTGGCTGCAGGTGTAAACCACAGCAGCACAGACTCACCTTCACATGACATGACCTTAAGTAACCACGCTGACGGGAACCCCCCTTCTTAACCACATCCTTACCTTCACATTTCAGGCCCTGTCTGACGAGCCCCCACAGCATCTCCCCGCAGTCATCGCAGAAGGCCGGCGCCTTGTACGAGTGAACGTACAGCGCGTGAGGTCGGATCTGGAAGTCCTCGGCCGTGGCCAGAGCTGAAATAAACAAATACAGAGCGGCCAGAATCTCACTTTCAATGTGCTGCTACTGGTAGTCTGAGAACCGCTACTTTTCTTTGACTTAGGCATTTTGTGAAAAACTATAAAATTACGTATTTCTCTGGTTTTGATGACTGTTGGAAATATTTGAGGAGATGTAAGTACTCAACAAAAAAGGGTTAGCATTAGGGTTAGTCCAATTTTAATTAATTTAGATATTTTAGTGTGAAAGTTCAACATACTGTACGCTTAAGTGAGGTTACAGGAGAAATCAGAGAAAGTCTGATTTGGTTGAAAGGTTTGGACACCTGTTGACTCACTAATTCAGAAGCCTTCATGTGACCTGCAAAAGCGAACCTGACCATCAGGAATTAACATTCATTATTTCTGTTTTGTTATTAAAATGCCTCATGCCAATGCAACCGGGTCACAGTCGGATCAAGCAGGTGACATTACTTTGCCGAAACCGCCTTTATTTACATTTTACATGAAGATTCACAGCGAGTCAAACGATTGATTGTTTAAGACGCAAAGATAAGATTTTTCATCAGAAATCACAGCTTACACATGTACAGAGCAAGATCAGTATACGCTGAGACATTCAGCTTTTTCCACAGGGGGCACAAAAAGGCATTTTGAACACATGTGAGACCTGAATAATCAGTTTCTGCATGTTATTAAAGTGTGTAAATATTTGAACAGAGTAAACCAAAGGAGAAGAAGTTTAGAGACGAGCCAGAAGTGAGTCATGTTGTTTATATTTACAGTCTTTTAAAAATATTTACCAAAGATTTTCACAGACGTTCAGACAGAAACGGGTTGTAGTGTTGATATTTCAATGTGTACAAATTCTTTGTATCGATCGCTGCATCTATTGTGGTTTTATCTGACACACACACTCAAGAGTCAGATAGCGGCTTCATGTGTGTGTGTGTGTGTTTGTGTCTTTGTGCTTTGGTTACAGCAAACTTGTAACAGTCACAGAAAGTTATTCATCATTGGAATTGTAGTAATGTGTCTACAGAGAACAAAATTGAGTTACATTATAAGTTTGTTTTCTTTCTTTCTCCGATCTGTAAAACTATTCAAACCATGACAAAAATCATGTTCTCTTTTACATCTATGTGTCACACAGCATATAATGCCTCCACCTCTCCACAAACAGATGCAGATGTATGTAAATAGAAGTGTGACTTCTGCAGGGTTTTGCAGCAGCAGCAGCAGCAGCAGGAGGAGGAAGTGGTCGTGGGTTTGAGTCGGTGCGGTTCGGGGCTGCAAACTGTGTTTTTTCTTCCTCCTGTGTAATTTAAACCTGCTGCTGCTCCGCGTCAGGGTGTTCAGCTGTTAAGGTGTCAGATTCAGTTTTGACACCCCGACTTGTCAACACGACTCAGGAAATGACAATCCTACAGACAATATTATGATTAGAGCGTGCAGGGTGACCCGGGAGACGCTGTGGTAGAGGAAACTAGATCTGAGGCGACCTCACGGCGCTCACCCAGAGGAGGATAAACACGAGGGCTGGAAGAGGAAGCTGAGACAAAACTAACGATATCCATATTTCATCATTTCATTCACAAATACACTTCTTTATGAGTTAAGAATCGAAACATCTTTTTTAAAGGATTGTCCTGATATTTTTTGAAAGCTTCTCGTGTTCCCCAGAGGTCAAATTAATTAAGGTAGTGACCTTCATTTTGTGACCAAAACGTGGTTAAAAGGTGCTCGGAGTGACTGCAAGAGTGACTCTAAACATCCACATCGTAATCGGGGAGTGTTTTTCATCCCGTTCTTTAAACCAAAGGAGCATTGTTTCTGTCTTTTTAAAAATATAGCAGGTCTATCTATAATCTGTAATCATGAATCATTTTACTCGCTTATTTAAAAGTGACGTACCGAGCAGAACATGAGCAGCTCTGCCCGCTCACACTTCCTTTGCCTGTTACTTCCAGAGACATTAAATGACACTTCTGTCTTTTTCACATGGATCTTCAAAATGACCTTCCTATATTTCTGAGCTTTTAACCCCTCATGTAGTTTGAATTCATTTTTATTTTATTGTCTGTGTTTGTTTACTTTCTGCTTGTTGCTTTTATTGTCTGTTGTGAAGCCCTTTGTTACTTGTAAAGAAAAGTGCTATACAAATAAAGTATTATTGTTATTATCCTCTGTAGCTTTTCGCTCCAAGTGATGTTGCTGTGAACTCTCAGCTGCGTTTTGAAGGCCCCTGTTAGCGACGTTTAGAGGATATTTCAGAAAAGGTCACTGATGGAGTCCAGAGGTAAGTCAGAAGACGTGTGACAGCGAGCAGCCACGGGATGACAGCTAACGTTAGCCGACATCACTCGGACATCGATCATATTTTAAATTATTATTATTATTTTTAAAGATTTATTTTTGTGCCTTTATTGGAGAGAGAGGACCGTGGATAGAGCCGGAAATCAGAGAGAGAGAGAGAGAGAGAGAGAGAGAGAGAGAGAGAGAGAGAGAGAGAGAGGGGAACGACATGCAGGAAAGGAGCCACAAGCCAGAATCGAACCCCGGCCGCTCGCCTTAAGGCCTATAGCCTCCACACATGGGGTGCACGCTCTAACCACTGCGCCACCAGCGCCCCATTTTACATTTTTTAATTGAGAGATTTAGAGTTCTCCTCTTTCACTGTACAGTATCTCTGTACTTTCACAGAGGACAAGTTTAGAAAAGAATCAAATGAATTAAATACAAATAAAAGTCGGTGAAATCTCAAGGTACTTTTCATTTGTTTCAAATGGGAAGGAGCCCGGCGACAACATTTTGTCTAACATAGAAACAGTAACCAAGGAGGGCGGGCCTTTCACAAAGGGTTGATTCTAATCATGTTGCTTTCTCTTACTTCTGTGCCCTTTAAGAGGTTTGTTGGCAGAGGCTGAAAGAGCAACGACAATACCAAGTAAAGGTTGACAGAGATTATAACATCCCCGCCCTTTGTCTTCTCCAGTAATCCTAATCCAGCGGGAGTTCTGATGCTGGTGATCTCCTTGATCTCAGAGTCAGCCCAAGAAGCCAATTTGAAGCGATGAAGCAGGCTTACAGGCCACAGGACTGACCGATGAATAAACAAAAGATTAAACCACCCTTACCAGAGAGAACCACCTCCACCAGGTCTCCTTCGTGGATCTCGTCCGCTGAGGTCAGGCGCTGCAGGATGTTGTCCGAGTTCAGGTCGTGGCGAAAAAGAAGGATCTTGTCATACATCCCGAAAAATCCACATTCAGGGAACTGAGGAGGAGGAAGAGGAGAAGAAGAGGTCAGGGGATTCAATCAGACTCAGGGTGAAGTTAGAAACACTGAGAGTGCTGCTGAGGTCAACTTGAGATTATAGAGGGAAAAATGGTTAAAGGGGACATATTATGAAAAATCCTCTTCTACAGTGTTTTTGAACATATATGTGGGTAACCTGAGAGTCTACTGACCCACAACATGTGAAATAAACCCATCCAGTCCTACCCATGTGCTCCCCTTGTGATGTCACAGTGGGATTCTGGTAAAAGAAAATCCCCTCCCCTCCCCTGGTATCTCCACCCATGGACTCCACCTCCAGTCTAGAGCAAAACTTTTTCACAGGTCCGCCATTTTTATTCTCTCTACACAGGAGTGATGTCTACAGAGAAGACTCAGGGGGCGGGGTCATTACATTTAAAGAGACACACACACCAAAATGGAGCGTTCTTAGAGAGCTGGTTTATACAGGGTCACAAACCTCCTCTGGTGCTTGATTCATGTTATATTTTGACCAAAGCACAGCACAGATGTTTCATTTAGACCACAGAGGACTGTTTGAAAAGGTGGAGGAGGGGACTGTTTGAAAAGGTGGAGGAGGAGGAGAATATGTCCTCTTTAAAAGTAAAGCCATCTTCGCTGTTCTACACACACACACACACACACACGCATGCATGCACGATATTGTCTTACCCCATAACTCATTACAAAATATATCAAATATCTTTAAAAGCCCTTCTCACTACAAACATTATGTAGGTGTCAATATATAAACATGTAGAAAAAAATCGAATCCTCACATGAAATCAATGCCGAATCTGCATTTAAGAAGAATATCTTTATTTAATATCCACTTTAAGACTTTTTAAACTAGAGTTTATTTAATAGACGAGATGTAATTCAACAATCCAGAACTTGAAAGTGCCACATAACGCTCCCTAAGAAGACATACTAATAATGAAGGTTGGAAACTGTTTCAGGTTATGAGACAGGTGTTGAGTGTATGGAGTTAGAAGTTTGGCCTGTGGGTGGCGTTACAGTCGTGACTTCTTTAAAAACAAGAAGAAAAGAGCAGGTTGAGTTTAACGGTCAAAGCTGCAAACATCAAAACGTGTAATCCACATCTGTCAAAGGGCTCAACCAGCCGACCTTTGACCCGGCTCATTAAGTGTCCTTTCATCCCGGAAGAGCCGCTTGTCCTCTTTAACAATAACGTTTCTCATTCATGACTTCATCCTCCTCTTAGTTAACCATTACCTCACCTCATCTGAGGAACACATGACGAGTGATGAAACTCATTCAGAGAAAAACAACTCTGGGAAACTTCGCCGCTTCTGAATCCGTTTCCACTTAAATCAACCGACCATCACATCCAGGCTGGTTTTTATCAAATCTCATTTTCTGGTTAAAAAACACCCGAGGCTGCTGAGGCCGTCTTCTTCCCCCAGACACACAGAGAGGCTTCCCAGCAGCTACATCCTCTTTAGAGAGAACTTAACACGTCTTGTGATGATGGTTCACCTCTGGGTCACTGTGTTGTCAGATTATCACAGAAAATGATCAAAACTGTCAAATGTTTTTTTCCAGTGTGTATGGACAAGTTACCAGAGCAAGCTGCTTTTAACCACCAGGATCAAAAATGAAGAAATATATGATTTGAAATAAACCTTAGGTTTATCTGCAAGCTTGATTTGTTTAAAAACTCATTCAACACATAGACTGTAAGCCTGGGTGACAGAGGCTCATCGGCAGCAGCCGCCATGTTGGAAATGCTGTCTCAGTCTAACGACAGGCTGAGAGCTGGAGCGGGAACCGAATGAGCCAAAGAGAATGAAAGGTTGGACTGTAGCTAGGTTTGCAAAATGACTAGTCATGATAAAATCCTAATTAAAGGTTGAATGTGCAACATTTTACATATAAATGTATCAGAAATCCAGTATATCTTCTGAAAATGACGGCCGGCTGACTCCTCCCCTCGTGTATAAAAGTTGTTTAATTGAGGGACTAGAGAAAAGAAGAATAACATACTGTACTCACTGCTTAACTGTGTTTCTAGATCACGCTCATTTCAGGTAAATTTACATGCAGTGTGAAGATACCAGCATAATAAAGATCACTAGCATTAGCATGCTAACACAACAATGCAGCGCGAGTTGTTTTTGTTTCATGCTGGTGCTCAAGGGCGACATCTGCTGGATCAAAAAATCGCATATTCTTCCTTTAAACATTGATTTATAGTACTGGGGCTACTATATCAGAACTCTGTAACAAATCTCCTTACAGTGAAATCTCAGAGTTAGGACTCCACTTGAGTATGATCCCCCCCCCGTCTATGTAGGGATCATTTCTGTTCCAGACATCAAAAAAATAATAATGTTCTGTTTACATAACTAGCTGTCCTGTGATCGCTTTAAAGGATTCAACTGAAGCTTTAACCGCTGTGTGACGGCAGCCAGATGAAGCAATCTTCATCAATGCAATGAAGCAGAATTTGTAGCTGATGACGGGGAAATCATGTTAAAAACTGACGCTGCCTGCCTGGTCTGCGTCCATGTGTATCCCCACAGCTTGCAAACAACAAAGAATTGAATGTGAATTTTCAAACACTTCATGTCGCGTGCAGTGTGTGAAGGTGGCAGCACGTTTGTCAGCATTATAAACTAGTATATTGCTCACACCGGTATATAGGACGCAGCCAACTTTTTAGATGACAAACAGGTATTAAAAGTGCATCTTATGTGGTTAGTGCGCGCGCCCCATGTATGGAGGCTGTGGTCCTCCAAGCGGGGGCGGCCCAGGTTCAAATCCAGCCTGTGGACACACACACACACATCAAAGGCACAAAAAGCCCATGAAAAAAATCTAAAAAAGTGTGTCTCATAGAACTGATTGAATACTGATTCCCCTTGAAGGATGTGGTTCTTATTTATTTGACACAAATTACAAATATGTGTGAGACAAGTAATAATCTTATCCATCTTTTGATTAATACAACTACACAGTTTTAAGTCTTCATTGAAGAAAAAAAAAGACTGTTACTACATTCTTATTTGTGTTTCTGATTAAAACGCGTCTACAAAAAAAACCGCCCAGAAGAATGCTGTTGCATTGTGGTGTGTGTTGTAATAGTTTTGTGTACTGGTTTCCTTGCGTTCTGCACACATTGCAGGTGAAGCAGCTTCCTGCACCGAGCCGCTCTCTGTGTTAGCAGGATGTTAGCAGGATGTTAGCAGGATGTTAGCAGTGTGCAGGTAGTATGCAGCGGGGATCCTGCAGCGCAGCAGGAAACCAAAAACAACAACAGGTGAGAAGACAGCAAAGAAGACGTGCCGCACACAAACATGTATGCACCCCGAGACAGACACAAAGAGAACATCCATCATGAATTATAGCTGAGGTCCTGACACCCAGGGTCAACATGTGGCTACCTCATTGCTCAAACAAATAAACAACACACAGAGACATAACAAACAGGACTTATTAATTATGTCTTTACAGGACGGACGGAGGACAAAACTGAAGATTGTGAATAGAAAGTGTAAACGTGTGAACAGCTCTCTACCTCCTTTAAGGGCAGCCAGATACTCTGACTGTTAGAGCAGGAAACCATGAGGAAATGTGATGTTTTCTCTGAGGTCGTTTGTTTCTTCTTCTTGATATTTCTGTTTTTTTTTTGTTTTTGTCTTGAGGATGTATACATACAAAACAATAACAACACACAACCCCAGTTCATCTCCAGTGAGGGCAGCAGACACCCCTCTGTATCTTTATCTCTATGGAAACATGTTGTCCCTTTGAAAATAAAAATAAACATAGTTATTACAGATATTTGGTTTCTTATTTTTAGCCATTTGGCTTTTTATTCCCAGTGCGAGTCAGTTTGTATCATGTGGGTGTTTCTTTCCTTCTGGATGCCGATTGTTTTTTTGTTTTTTATCTAGCTTTAATGTCTCGTTCAAGTCAATGTATTTCTAATGTCTTCTTGTGTCTTTTCTTTTGTCTATTTAGAAAACAAACAGGTTAAAAAGTGTAAAGACAAACATGCAGCTGAGCATTTCGATGGCTGTCTTCTTCTTCTTCTTCTTGTGAAACCGTGACTCAGCAATGAAACAATCCTCCATGCTGATTGGACGACATTTCTAAACCAGAAGTGAAACATTTCTGTTCAGCTGCCACCATGACACACTTGGGCTCCGTCCAATCCTGTGAGAGGAAGACGTCGGACGCTGTGTTCTCTTTAGGTGAGCAGAGAAAACAGCAGTAAGAGTTCTGTTAATGGACAAGAGTGTGTGCTTAATACACACTGATCCCTCTTTATGGTTAATCCTCCATTAACCAGGTTTTAACCTCCACACACACACACACACACACACACACACACACACACACACACACACACACACACACACACACACACACACACACACACACACACACACACACACACACACACACACACACACACACACACACACACACACACACACACACACACACACACACACACACACACACACACACACACACCACAGTTCAGTGTCTGTTGTCGGGGGTCGAGAAGCCAAAACCTTCAGGCCCTGCAACATGACCTCTGACCCTCAAACACACAGGCTGGAACAAGAGCAGGCCAAGAGGTCTCCGTCTTTGACATGAGGTCGTGTTTTTTAAACACTTAGGGGAGGGGATCCAGCACGTCTTCATGTGAGCAGCACTCCCGTCTTTATCAGAAGGGACTAAGTGTTCATGGAGCCTGGATAATCCTGGCTCACTCCACACAGAACTTAAGCCTCTTTTAAACTATACTCGAGCTTTTTTTTTTCGATTCATTTGCATTTCTTATTTAATGTTTGATCAATAAAAGAATAAAAACTAACATATTATTTAAGCTTCACTGTGCAGGGTGTTTATGCAGAGCTTATTTCAAGAAGCCATTAGACTGTGTGTTCACCTTAAAGCTGGGGTGAAAATCCTGTAATTTACTTTTACTTTGGTCTGAGCAA